TCCGAGTGTGCCAAACATGCACCTTCAGAGCAAAGGCTCTTCTATTGTAAAATGAAACAGGAGAAGGAGGGCCGAACAGAAAATTTAAAATCCGTGCAACCATTCTGACTAATTGAAGAATCAAGCAATTAATGCTTTAAGGAAGAAAGGTGATCACACATTTCTTACTTTGTCCACTGTATATGTATAATGCTCCCATAAATGGGTACACAACCATGCTCCACCCATTTGCCACAATGCCCACACTGGTTGACCAAAATCTGGGGATGATTTTGCCCATATGTCAGAGATCTGATGAGCAACCCAACCACTTGCTTGATAGTTTACCTGTATCATTCTGTAACTTAAGTACATGGAAGTTTTACGTGTACAGTTGAAAGAGAAATTTAAAGCTGTGCGTGCTTGCCAGCAATTCAACCACATAGTGCATCAAATTAAGAAAACACATCAAATAAGCCATCAGAGGCTCTTCCTAGTGAACTGCTCATACCAGTCACACTGGTGACATGAGACCACGCTAGCTTAGGGATATTGTTCACTAAAAGCCTCTTGGCTTATACCAGTATTTGACTGAATAAGATAATAAATTCACCTCATTCTCCATTCCCCACAACACAGTCACACAGAGACATGGGAGGGAGAGACCTCAAATCATTAACAAAACCCAGTGCATGACAAGACATTTCCACTTGCCTTTTCCCAATACTAGTCATATAAAAAAATATTAGTCATATCATAACAAGTCTTCACGAACTAAAGATTGAAAGGAATCTAACTTAGCAGTTTTATGTCCATTCACTGAAAGAGAAGATATATAATCAAATAAAGGCTCCTGGCTCTCCTTAAGATTGCAGGGAAGAGAAGGCCAATAGTTCATTTGTAGATTGATATTCAAGTGAGGAGCACAGCTGAAGATGCACAGCAGCAATGGTCTAATTAATAGCTTTCCCAAAAACTATCATGCAAATAAAGACAGAAGTAGAAAGGCCTACACTGAAACAAGCATAGATACTAATCATATAAATGCAATACATTAGGGAGAAAGGAATGCAGAACATACTCCCACGCTGGATGAATATCTTTGTTCCATATCCCTTGCAGGTTTGATGCCTGAGTTCCAGGGCGTGAACTAGAAATAAGCAGATATCGACCAAATTGGAACAGAAGCTCTACAAAGATGGATCTTCATCTGTTTTAAAAGCTTTCACCCTATCTGCAGTTGAAATTGACTGTTTTTGACCTCCAGCCAAACAGTTATTAGTTAAGTTGCAGCCATTTCCTATTGAACTTTTGGAGCTTTTTGAGAGCTGCAGTGAGACACTATGAAAAAAATTTGATAGTCGCTCACATGCCGAGAGTATACCTCAGAATAAGAAAATCTTTTATTGAATTCAATGTGCTAAGAGCCTCAGAACTGGGATCGCGTTGGGAATCGGAAGGATTGATAAATGGGCCATCGAATGAAGATGATGCTGACAACATGATGATGGCCCAATCACAACCCTCAACATGAAGTTTCTTGCCATCTAAAACATGTAATGTACCCATACTACCACTGATCTGTAAATCAAGAAAAGCTGAGAACTGAATTCCTTCAGGATAGTCATCATCTTCTAGTGATTCAGATGCAATTCCTTTGCCAGGACAACTTCCCTGCATAGCAATCTGACTTTTGCCCTTTGCATATGAACGGTGATGTAATTCACTGTCCAGCGATGCAGTGAAGTTCAAACGCCCCGGTTTGTTTCCAGAAATCTTTACTACTATTGCTTGATCTGGATAAGAGACAAAGTACTCCCTTGTAAATTCTACCTCATCTACTGAATATCTTACTGTTACTGTTGCAGTATCCAAGTCCAGTTCCCTGTGGTACGACTCTTTGTCATATTTAGTATGGGAATCGTCAAACTCTATCTTGACATCTCCAAGGGGTTGGTATACCTACACCACAAGCAATGCAATAAGCTATCCATGGATTTCAATAGAGATTTCTCAGCCAGGAGAAAAGATACAAAACCAAGATAGCAAGTAAATAAGCCATAACTACAAAACTGTAACTCCATTTAAACCCTAGCAGCATACCTCAAATGCAACATTGTCCTAAATTTGATGGCAATAGAAGTTCATTACCTAGCTGATAATAAAGTTTTCTACTTAACTAGTGACCACTCTTCCCCTATTCTTTGTGCCTGAATTAACCAACTCCTTCCACCCCAAAAAAATATTCCAGGCCCTTTTTCTGTCAATAAGACTAGTGCGAACTACATTTTGGTGAATAATGCCCCGCTTGAGCATGTCATTATATGTCATGGGCAGCATAGAAAAGGATGACATTACATGGCATTAAAGAGCTACGTATTTCAACAGTGAGTTAACAAGCTAAAGCATTAAAGGTGTGAATCGTGTATTCATTCCAGTCTGCAATATGGCGCCGAAGATCTCCTTCCATGCTTAAACATATTGAACTGTTAAAACTGCAACAGTTACTACACTCCATACTGAATTTTCCTCAAAAAAAAAATGTGTATGTCGAGGCAATAACGAAGGTTCAAAGTGGCTATTCCACTGCAGAACTTGCACTAAACTCCACATAGCAGCGGCAAAGAGAATTACTGTATCCTACTATAATTGTAGATTCTCATCTAAAAGGACTGCTAAAACAACACAAAATAACTTAAAAAATTATGATCAAACAGTGTACCTCAGATGGTTCTCCCGATAACTGTGCTGCTGCACTGGTAGCCTCTGCATATTGGCCTTCATTAACAAGTTTCCTGACCTCAGCTAGCGCTTCTGGAGCATTTGGATCAGTGTAATCCCCAGGAATGCCCGTCCAAAGTGTGTCCTCTACATTCGAATATCCAAGACAAAATAATCAAATAAAATATAAAAGCAGAAACTTTTAATATTATCTTGTTCTGCTATTGCAACTGGGCTACCTGCCTTATACAATCACATAGAAATTGTTATACTGGATGACAGATATATGGGCCAGTAAATTCCAATTTCCACCGAAACCCAAAGCAAGTTGATATGAAGAAGCAAAAGAATTAGACTTCCCACTTTCCTCTGTCTCTTATAAATAAAACCATAAAAGCAAATAGCTGCTAACCAATAAGACAAAATTCAGGCACCCAGCAAAGTTAAGAAGACCAAGAGAAACCAAGTTGAACAAATAATCCATTCCACTGCCATATAGCCACTTTAATACGGTAAAAAGAAAGAAACAAGAAAAAGGTAAAATTCTGTAGTTCTTAAGAATCAGGACGTAAAAGGAAAAAAAAAAAAAAAGGCTGCTAACTTTACCGTTAAGGTTGAGAACTTCGGCTGGAACACCCCCCAGACCATAGCACCAAGACGACCATTACCAATGGAAGAGCATCAGTCCAATACTTAGCTGGTTCATTGAACCTAATCTTAAGAGGGTCCGAACCCGAATTAGACCCTGAATTTGATGATAACAAAGTTGGGCTCCATGCATCTCTGTCACAGGGTTTCTTCACAAGAACCCATCTATGACCTTCTTCCATTTGACGAATTGGCGAAGCATCATGGACCAAAAACAATTCTAGACTAAACAGTATAGTCAAGTAGACAATGAAGTTAAAGAAAGCCACTTTTGCTTACTTTATTTCCCAAATATTTTATGTTTGAAACTTGATCTTTTTCAGAGAAATGGTACAACACTGGTGAGCCAGCGAACTGATGAGCGAAATCAGTGGATACAGGGACTGTGATAAAAGATACTAGAAAAACGTCGGTTGGGGTTGGTAAACGGGGCCCGACGTGAATGCTGATGAGAAGAAACGAATTATGAAGTGACAAGGAACCAGGGACAAAGACATCACTTTCAGCAAGTCAAGAGAAACAGGACCCATTTCTCTGAATGCACGCGCCATATACCGTTCCTCCTCCTCTGTCTCTACGTCAATCGCCTGGCTTTTGGCTTTATTATGCTTCGTCATAAGTTTGAGTCTCGGCTACAGGATGTATTCTCATTTTGCATTGATAATTTGGTTTACGATTGTATTACTAGCTGTAGTTTGTTCACCGGAAGTTTCGATTATGGAACATCAGGATCATCGGTTTTGTGTTTTAAAGCCTCTCTGGTTTTAGAGTACTCTCAACTTTCTAAGGTTTCTGATCCGTCTAGTTTGGAGCTTTGTGTTAAGTTCATACAGCTGAGACAACTTTCAATGGAACAAATTACAATTTCGGAAATGAACAAGCGTCTCACGTTACCATTCTTTTTATCCGTATTCTGTACCAAAGTCATTCAGGCGGAATCACACACAAATGTAATCAACCTTTGTGCAGGGAGCTTTGTTTAACGAATGTTGGAACAACCTGGTATGGGATCATTTGTTGATTTAAGAATTACAGGAGCATAGTTGCCAGTACAGGAAATGAACAACTGGATGACATTAGAACAAAATAATTCACACGAAGTCGTCATAAACATTTATATATACAGGGTAGAAACTAGGTCATGGGAACAAGACACACGCCACGCTTCAAGTTAGCCTCTCATGTCTCCATCACATCATATGTTATCCATATTAGCATCAAGACGCCTAATAAGCCTTAGCCTGGAGGGACCAAAACATAATCAAGAGAAGCTCTAAAAATATATTATAATTGCTCCTATATTTAACAAAATGGGGTCAACAGTTCACTATCGGATGCTTGATAGCAGATGCAACTGCTGCTCTGTCTAAACAGTTTGTATCACCACCGGATCATCCTCCTCATCTTTTGGATTAGATAATTTTTCATCATAAGGAGGCATAAGATCTGACTCATGCACTATCTTGATTCTGGTCTTCATCTGATCAAGCTCCATCTTAACAGATAATAATTGTGACATTAGCTGCTCCCTTTCCCTGATCCAAGCAGCCCTTTCAGTGTCATGTTCTTCTCGGATGAGATCAATTCTTTCTTGTAACCGTCTGCACTCACTGCTAATTTCATTGATCTCGTCCAAATGCTTATCACCAGTTGGGAGAGATCATCAGCCCACTCAAAGAACTCACATTGCTGGCAATGATTGAAGCAGCATCATTTAAGTATGATACATGTGGAAGGTAGCAGACAACATTCTCACGCGTGAAAGCCAGAAAATGCATACTTACATCAGCAAAATCACTCTTAGGACAATTATAGAACAACCTAAACAGGTTTGCACGTGTTCTTGATACTCTTCGTTCTGCCGTCAGCCCACATTTACACTTCAGTTCAAAGCCTTTAGAACATTTCAGGTCAGAGACTTCAAGTGAACTCATCCCGCTAGTTCCTCAACCTGCAGAAACAACGAAGCCATATCATAATTCAAGCGTACTATTAAGACACTTTTGTGATTGTCTTTTTGATGAATTGATTTGCCCCAGCATTGGTTTACATTGAAGAAATTAGTGAAATTGTAAATATACGGTGAAACACACACACGCCAAAACTAGTGCAAGCGTTTTCTGCTCTCTTTGAGGGTCGTTGTTGCATTAGTGAGACAAGAGACTAGTAGATTTTTTTCTCTCTTTTTCCCCTTCTTAAAAACCAATTATAGAATTACAATTCGATGAATCCACACTACAATCCCAATTTACAGCTTCACACCAACTCACCAAGGACCACAAACTCAAAAGTGAGACTATCAAATCATCTCCAAATTTTCTACCAGTCTGCATTGCACCTAGCACGATCCTTACTAAGATTATAGTGATAGAAATTTGGCTCTCGTGTAACATCTTCCAATTGATCATTCTACTTCGACAACTTACCACTTGCATATTTACATAGTAGTATTACTGTATTGGTCAGACAAACAGTTTAATTGGACCCATTGATCATCAACTTAAAAAAGCTTAAACCTACAAAAAAACAAAGACATGAACAGAAGACATAAGCAGTAAATTTTTGAACCTTGGATGTGAATGTTTATGCTTAGTTGGGGCATCCATACGTGAAGGCTAATTACTACTGAAAACTAACCCGTTAAGCTGGTAAACTTGGGATGATCAAAATCACCAAGAGTCAGGTTGCCCCGTCCTCCGTAAAGCCGAACTTCAGCAAGAGGAGGACTTTGGAGAGAACACCGACATGGTTGGCTAGTAAAGGACCTAAAGGTTTGTAAAAAGCACCGACAAACCCAAAAAGCCCTTCACTTCACATGATCATCTGACGGAGCTTTGATTAAATGAACAGTTATGTCCCGTCGGGTGGCAGAAAGACTTTTTGGGTTTTTACAAGTCTGCCTGGGGTTGGAGGTTTCTAGGATTTTTCCCCTTCCATTTTTATATTTCTCATAGTTGTTGACCTCACGATTTTTTAACCTTCTAAAATGAGTGCTACGGCATTTCAAAAAATTGAAAAAAATTTAGTTCTAAGGTAATTATTTTCTTTTCTAGTTTTTAATATTCTCTATTTTGGTGGTAAAGGCGTAAAGCCCCCAAGAAGTTGCACGATAGCTCGATGCACCCTCCGGGATACCATCAGAACCAGCTTTTCTCGTGGCCATCTTTATCTGTTTCCACCTCGGACTTCACTCGCAATTCTAAATTGATTAAAAAATTCAAGATAGTAAGTGGTGGTGTGCACCTATCTGAAATCACTTTTAAAGTGGCTGGCCACATAAAATGTAAGATAGTAAGAGGCAACGTTTTAATTCTATTTCTTGTTTGTCTTAATTCCAATATACTTACTTGGTAAAATGTTCTTTGCCACCTTGATCGTTCAATTGCATCAATTTCCTCCTTGTAGTTTTACATGTTTTGGAATCGAGCACAATTGGCACGGAATGCCCAATTCTTGAATGAATTGGTCATGTCCAAATACATGTTTTTATGTACAAACCAATTTACCCCCACGTATGATCTCTAGTTGACTTACTAAAAACATAACCATTAATTTTCAAGTGATATTTCATAACACTACTATTATCACATGTTCTCTCGTCACTTCTCTTTCAATCTACTATAGCTGTACTATATCTTGTTAAAATTGTAGGTGATGTGTGACTTTCTTGATTATTGACTCTTTTACTACTGAAAATAGAATTATTTTGAGGTGATTAAATTAGGATTCTAGCTAAGCAAGAGAGATGATGGTTCATGGAGCTAACCTCTCCATTCTTTTTTTTTTTTTTTTTGAACCCCAATGATTTTACGTATGTCTCCATTCTCTTGCCTCCAATTGTCAGACACAAAATTCGAAAACATAGTAATAATAATTTGTAATATCATTTACTTACTTCATAAGTGTATTTTACAAACAGGAAAGCATCTTAGAGTCTAGAATCTATATGGCAGAACATGCTACTGCATGCTTATAGTACATCACACCATGAAACTTTCCCTGAAAAAAACAAAGGAAGAAAAAACTGTGAAATCTGAGCACTTTTGCAATGGACCATATCTGCCTCGCATACACCTCCCTTGCTACGTTTACCTATATTTGGCAGGAATTAAAGGTAAATCTACCTCATCACACCACTCAACACATTTTGTCTCATAATATGAACTCTTTACGTCACTTGGCCAATAAGTTAGCCAAACTTGACCACCCATTCTCCATTTCAACACGCTCCCTTCCATTTCCTTGTTCAATCTCCACCCTACTCCTCCATTCCCGCCGCAGCAGTCCTCGCCGGCGAACACCACCCCTCCACTCTTGGTAAACGCCCTGTTCCCTCCCGCGTACCTTCTCATGAAACTATTCACCGCAAGATAATTTTCACGGCCCCCAGTAGACGGCTTCCACGTGGCAACCTCCTTTCCAGTTGTATTGTCGCATAACATCCCATCAAAAATACCTGCATTTCCTTCCACGTCTTGGTCCCACCTCCAATTTTTCATTTTTGTTCTCGTTGCCATTCTTGCCACCCCCTTCACCTTGGGTGTTTTATCTCTTTCCCGTAACTGCCCTTGAAGATTTTTTGGATTTCCACCTCCCTCTCCACGTTGTCCGTAGACCGGCCCAAACTCAAACCACCCACGTAACTGGCCCCAATCTCGGGCCCAACCCAAACTCGAACCCGTGATGGAAAATGCCTCTCGTTTCTCAAAACATCATCATCATCGCCCGACTCCTTGCTCTTGAATCCTAGCTTTACAACGTGGAGGCGAATGTTGTCCACAAGTGCGTGAACTCGGATAAACGCATCACAGAATTCGACTTTGTACTCCAGCTGAATAACAGCCTCCAGCTGCTGATGTCCCAGAGAATATCTTAGCGCAGATTCTTTGGGTTCAATCACGGGAAACTGATGCATATTAGGATTTCGATTCGATGTTACGCAGTCCATGGCTGTGACTGGAGTGTAGCCTTTCAGAATCCACAGCCCATGAGACTCCGTTGCGTATGAGAAACCAAGACGATGAGATGCAGAAGGCGCTAGCGCTTTTAATCCTGCCTCTAGGCCCCCGACTTGACGGAAAATCAATGATTTTGCCAGCATATATCCGAAAGCCCGCATGAGACACAGCTCCACGTCGGTCCCTCCTGAAACAAAGAAAGTTCTCAAGACCGGCGCCTGCTTGCACGAGAATGCACCCAAGTTTGGAGCGAGTAATGAATGGAAGTATAGAGAACCGACTTCAGATGGTGCGTCAAACACGCATATCCAGAAAAGTCGGGCGAGGAAGATGAGGTGGAAGAAGCTTGAGAAGGATTCGGGGGAGTGCGAGTCCAGAATCCATGCAATGGGCTCGGGTTTGAGCTTCTGGAGCTGTGAGCGGGGACAGGTGCTGTCGTGGGCATTGGGTGAACGGGAGATTATCTCCTGGAGGAGTTGGAGGACCAGAGGCAAGAATGGCTTGTCTTGAGCAAGGTGACACTTGTCAGAAACCCAGAGGGTAGCAGTCGAGGCTTCAGCCTCTGTACTATCAGAGTACTTTTGGAACACGACTGAGAAAGTTAGCGATACTTCCGATTTGGGCTCAAATGTTCTCTCAGCTCTGAGTTGAATCGACGTCTGGGTAGAGTTGGAGATTGGTTTGGAACTTGTGAGTTGATAACTGAGTGAGGTTGACTCCGTGAACCAATCTTCCGAGTCGGGAAGTTCACAAATCCATGACCATATATCCATGCTTTCTTGATGAGCGGTCAGTTTTGTGGTTTCCATATCTTTGTTGCTGTAAGGCTGTAAGTAGGGTTTCGTCGGGTAGAGGAGTGACTGCTGAAGAGCCATAAGGTCATATATACAGGGAATGAGTGAAGGAAGTACAGCCACCTTGGAGACCGTTTTGTCCGTGAGGTGGGTTGATTTCATCCGAATCAAACTGGTGGTGGTCTCGGGAGAGACTTGTCGATTTGAGGTTTTCATTTCCCTGCATTGATTGCTGGTGATATTTACATGTGATTATCTTTTCTTTTCTTTGTAGCCATATATAGTTTTTGTGGTCTCAGCATTTGAAATGTCCTGGGATTGCATAATTTTTAACATATACTTGGAGTATATGATTCTATCCCCCTGGTAATTTGGAGTTTCTTGACATGCATGGGGTCCTGGGGATGGGGCATAAGAAATGGACCAAGGCATGTCCATAAAAAGGCTAAATTTTGTGGGATAAAATCGAAAAGGAAGTCTACCAACTACAAATACTTAGTGCTTTATTTCCTAGACACAAACCACAAAATTAAAGAAGTCTACCAAACACATGCAAGGCTAGGTGATGATCAAATAGTGATGAATACATATAAGTCGATGATTCAAGTTACGCATATATAGCTTTTTTCTCAGTTTTGTTAGAGTCAAGTAGCAGCGGAGAGGAGTTGTTCATTACGGTCTACGTATAGGTGTTTGTGTCCTTACACACGTTCGAAAGAAAAAAATACATCCAATGGAAATGGATGATTTCTTGAAGCCGCCCTACTTAAATTGTCCAATTGCTTTCACACAACCAACTTAGAACGAGTTTTTTATTCCCTTGATTTTTATTGTTATATGCTAGTTGATGTTGCATCAGATAGAACATAGAAGTACTTGTACTGGATTGTTAGCAGGAAAAATCACGCAGTAAAGATAACATTAATCTTATAAATAATAAATAATAAGAAGGATTCGGGAGGAAACAAAATATTTTGTTTCAATTCACTAATTTCCCTCTACCCAAATCTAGGACTCCAAGTGCTTAAACAGAGAAATATAACCACACATCCTGTTGTAATTATAATATCAAAACATGATTCAACCTATTTTCTAAATCAATTTTGACATCAATTCTAATCTAGTTACCAAATAAAAAATATAATATCTTTGCTTTGGATCTCAGTTCTCACTGGTCCATTTCATATTCGAGGTAAAAATCTTATTTTAAACTTTTTTTAATACTCTATTCTAATATTTTATATCTTACCTAAATTCATTTACACTCTACTCTAATTTGCTTGCATCACAGGGACAAATTGATCTAAAATGGAGCTTGTGAGGCTCATCCCCTTGGCATACAACAATTTTGGATGCCAAAAGCATGTTAATAATTTTTATTTTTTGTTTTTTCTTTGAAGAAGTTAATACTTCACATACATGGTGCGTTTTTTATCTGTGCTTTGAAATGGTTGGATGTTGTTATGCCATAATTTAATCTTTTGCCTACTTTAACATGGGTCGGGCTGCTTCACTAAATTGCAAGATCTAACATGGATTAAGCCCAATTCCTATGTCAAGGACGGTCTATCCCACACGTGGGGAGCGGTCTTCTCTACCCCATCCCATGCGAAAGAAACATTTCACCGTTCGCGATTTAGCTTTAAATATTGCGGCATTGCAATAAGAGTTTTGAAGGATGGTTTGTAGCAAAATGCAGAAAGCTTTAAGAGCCTACGGGGAAGTGCTGAGGCTAATTAGGCGACTTCCGCAGGACACTAGAGGTTACTATGCCAAATATGCCCGCGAAAACTTCGTCAACTACCGAGATGTCGACCCAAAAGACACCCAAGCTATCCACGAACTCCTCCAACGCACTTATGCCCATTCCCTCTGGGTCCTTAACAAGGTAAACGCGTATCCACCCATACGTTGTTTAACTAAATTCCCATGTCCATGTCTACATTAAGTGACGTCAAGAGCTGATTTTGTTTTCTTTTTTTTGGGGTGTAGTATTCAGTGGATCAATCCGTGGCTGAGAAGCTGAAAGGTGTCTGTGAGGCTTGAGTTTTTTCCCTTGCATAGGAAGTGTTTGATGTAACTGCCCACAGACGGTTGTTAAAGGCTCGTTTCGTGTTAACAATAAGTGACGTTTGTCTCCTTTAAATTCGAGATGAACCTCTGTTTGATGTAATTACCCATCGGGTTTGCTCCATTGCTATGCTTCCCTCGCTGAAGTTCTCGATTCTGATAATTGGAAAGTTCTCGATTTCGTCCAAGTTTATATTTTCACTTATTTATTACTCTTCTTCTTTGGTTGTCATGGTGGAATTTTAGGTTCAAACTTCAAAGGTGCTTTGATGGGAGACGTAAAGGAATCTAATTAATTTAGCACATACCTACGTTATCATTTAAAATGATCATTTTATCCTTAATTATTTTAAAGAAATTCCTTATTTAGAATGCTCGTACTTAGAATCAATTTGAAAATTATTTTTTCATTTTTTTTCCTTCATATTTCATTTTAAAATTTTTCACCAATAAAACTATAGAACTACCACTATTGCTTCTAATTTCTATTATAACTAAATGTCGAATTAGTGATTTTTTTTAACGAGTTAATTTTATATGTAATATAATATTTTTGCTGATCTTTGTTTTATATTTTTTGGTATTAAAATTAACAATAAATAAAAAAAAATGACCCAAAATCACAACTAAATTATGATAATCCCATTACTCGAAGAAAATTAATAAACTCTACATGAACTATTTCAACATTTTCTTTTCTAACTTATAAATCTAAATTCATAATAAAATACCATCAAAAAAAATCCTATCATAGTGATAAAATTATTATTATAATTGTTTATCAAATAGTAGGTATGGACATGAAAAATTTGGCACCCTTTCCTTATAATTATACTATATAATCTTATAATTGTAAAGACAAATAAATTAAAACTCATTACACAAGGGTATTTTTGGGTTTTCATTTAAAATTTTGACCAAGTCAATATTATTTTAAAGTTTTGTTACTAAAAACTATCAAATCAAGAGAGATAAGTGTAATTTTTTAAATCTCAAGGGACCTCAATAAAATTGTTAGGAACATTAGGGGACGTTTCTGAAATTAGTCTAATTTTATAGAAGTGGTTTGAATTTTGAGTTGTTTATTTACATAGTCGAATTGAGACGAGCTTTTTCGCGTAGGGCATGAATACTTTGAATTTTTGACATGTAAAATTTACATTTTATATTAATTAAATCAATATTAAATTAAGTTTGAAAGTTTAATGGACGCAAATTGCGTTCATATTTTGTTTGAATAATTAACAAATCAATTTCAACTAAATCCTCATTGAGCCAAAATTTGAATATAAAATGTATATTTAGTTCAAATAATTGGCAAACCAAATTTAGCTAAACTCTTACCAAACCAAAGCAAGATGCAATTAGTGTCTACTCTTAATTTTCTTACGAGGAAAACTGTGCGTTTGGATAGTAGATTATTTAAAATAATTTTAAAAAATATATTATAATATTTTTCAACTTGTTATATGTTAATTAAAAGGGCGAGTGTGCTGATTAACTAGCGAAACTAAGAATAAACGATCAGAACAGTGTGGAGTTCTAGAAGAACCCCAGACCGGATTAGGGAGTTGCTGGGAGCTGATTTCACAGGGGTTGCTACCTCTCATTTTGTACCATGTTAAGCCGCGTTAGAATTCCCTTTGTTCCAAAAAAATAATACTAATTATTAAAAAAATATGTTGATGTCATAAGTAAGTAAATTTTAACAAATAATTGACAATCCAATCACTCTATTAATTATTGAAAGCGTTTATAAATATCGTTTAAACATATAGCGTAGTAGCATGAATGATTATAATTATGGAAATCTTGAACGAATGTAACGAGCGTGGGATATTGTGTTTGGAGATTAACAAAGAACGATGGACGCAGTGTCGGAGGAACACGTCAACCAAGAACCAGATGTTTTGGGAAGGTTTTCGTTTTGTTAATATTTTATTATTTTCAGAAGAACTGAAAAAACAAAACCCTGTCTCCATCAGTCATTCTGGGCGACATTTCCCGATTTCCCAGTAAACTGTTCCACACGTGTCAATTCTGAACGTCCATCTGCCACGTTTCAACCAAGTGTCCTTCATCTATGTGATCACTTCTCTTCTTCAATTAGCTCAGCTGCTCCATCATGGCTTACTTGTCAATTGTCATCTCTGTATATATACATATATATATATATATTTCAATTTTGATTACACACTACTTATTTGTTATCACGTAAATATCAAAATCGAATCTTCTGATCCAACAAAAGCATAAAGTTTGTAAGAAGATTTGAAAACAGAATAGTAATCACGGGGGTAGGAATGTAGGATGAAGAACTCTTGGCCTGGGTTTACTCAGTTTCAGAAGATAATAACGAGCTAAAAATGTAGCTCGATGGAACAAGTTCGTAGATTTGGTATCGCTCCGTTACCTTCATTAGCACAAGTTCACGTGTCACTACTAAATTTCACGGCCTTTTTTTTTGTGTATAGTAAACAAGGGAAGTGTATCTTAGGGTAGCTTGATAAAAATAATGGTCAACGATAAATAAAATAATTAAGAACATAATAAACTCACTCTGAAAATAATGTTTCAGAATGGAGTGAAGAGAGAGAGCTATTACTCCAGTAAAATTATCCATTTCGCGTAACTAATGAAAGTGAAATTCCACCATTGGTTGATTTTAACAGTGACACATAGACATCCCTTTCATTAAATAAAAGAAAAAGGAGAATATTTATGAAGATTAAAATGGATAAAGCATCATTCCTACAAGCATCATTAAAATGGAACACAGTTTCTAGTAGTGGTTTTTCACTAAAGACAAAGTTTAGGTTGGATTGCAAGTTTTAGTAAAAAAAAAAAAAAAATTATATAATATTCCATAAAATGTAAGGATATTTTAGAAAGATAGTTACCTAGATTTATTTTTTCAACAAAGTTAACTATCTTTTTTTTAAAATTGTGTGAAAGGAAAAAAATCAAATATATTAAAGTGGGAGAGAGGGAGTGACCGAAATGGACTTTAGACTTGGTTTGCTTACTCCTTGTTTCATTAGTCATTCTATGCTTTTGGCCTTTAATTTGATCGCATATATTTTTTTTTATCGCATTTTAATTTGATCGCATTTAACTGACTTGTGTGCTGTCACCTCTACACGCCTCTGGGGTGTATTTACTATTTAGTTGTGGAGAACTATTGTAATGGAAGCTAAATGCAGATCTACTAGCTACAATATGCTGGAAATTGAAATTATTTTACGACCTTCCACATATTTTATAGGGATAGTAATCAATAGCTAGTGATTAGTTAATTTAATAGAATACGAGAGGTTCTGGAAGCTGGAACTCGAACACTGATTTTCCATTTTGGAAGTATCTGACGGCGCAACAAAAGAAAACAGGGAAAGGTATTTTTTTTTCTTTTTAGTGTAAGTGCAAGAGTTTAATTCTGGGACCTTTTAGTTGCACTTTCTTTCACCGAATTATTCAACTCATCTCTCTCTAAAAAGGGTCACTTTCTACATTATTTCTATTTTTATGCTAACGTATCTCAAAAAGGACCCAATTGAGTTAGAAGGGATTAAATCACCATCAGGCTTAACTGAGTTAGGAGGAATCGACAGAAATTAAATCACCATCGAGTCTAATTGAATTAAAAAAAATCGATGGGAACTAAACTATCATCAAATCAAAAAAGTGTACTACATACTTGTTTAGATTTGAAAAAAATCATATATTAGTGACACATAATAAGAGACAATGGTCGAACCATTAACCTCTCTCTTTCTGACATTTTCTTACTGAAGTAAGAACTTACGTAAATAAACCTAACCTCCCAACAGTAACTCCAAAAGCCGGTAACTTTTGGAGTCCTGTGAGGGACTTATCTACCCAAACCCCAACCCCCCAATATCGATGTGGGATAGAAAACCCCACAGGGTGCCCCGCTGCTAAGAGATAAAGACCCCCAAGCCCCTGAGAATGAGTTTTCTTTCTGACATTTTCTTACTGAAGTAAGAACTTACGTAAATAAATCTAATCCCCATAGTAACTCCAAAAGCCGGTAACTTTTGGAGTCCTGTGAGGGACTTATCTACCCAAACCCCAACCCCCCAATACCGATGTGGGATAGAAAACCCCACAGGGTGAACCATTAACCTCTCTCACTCAGTGTCTTTGTAGTGGTCAACAGGTCAAAGAGCCTAATTCACTTATTGAAGAGCCAAAAACTGACCAAGCCAAGAGGGTACTGAACGTGTGTATGAATAATAAGTTGTTGGAAATTTGGCTCTGTTTGGATTGTAAATTATTTGAGATATTTTTACAGTAGCACTTTTTGTGATGTGATATATGTGAGATAAAAAGGTAATTGAGAAGATAAAAAGGTGTGTTGGAAATTGTAATGGTGATGTAAGCAAATAAATTTTGACAAATAATCCTCTATCCAAACAAACATTTTACTTACATTATAAATATATCAATTTTTTTTTTTTTATTTTACATATACATCGTACTATCATCAATCGTTATTTTTTTGTTCGGAGAAGGTTTTACTCGTAAATTGTTGCCTAATTTGCTTTGGATGAATAAAGCACAAATTTTCTCGGGCAAGGTGGGGTCTGAAGTTTGACCGCGACGATAAAACCAAAGTCTTGAAATGCAAGTAACGGCCGTAACGCCAATCGAAGGTCTGGACTCTGGAGAGAGAACAAACCAAACTCCGCTTGATGCTGAGGTAGAAGATTTATTATACTAGTAATACAACTAGTAATTTGTGCCCAGAGTAGTCAATGAGTAATTGAGTAGGACATTAGTAAGATTTAAAAGAGCCCAACAAATGCAAATTTAACTCCTCAAGCAATTACTATCCTATAAAAAAAAAAAACAAACAAACAAACCGCTAGACAATTAATAGGCTCACCTAAACTAATTCTGTCCTCTTCACTTTTACACACACAACAGCAGCTTCCGTCGTTATCTCCTATAAGCCTATAAAACACACACACACTCACTCACCAGTCGCCTCTCTATAGCCTTTTCATTTCAGCGTTTCTTTTCCTTTCTTTATTTTTAGTCCAAGCTGTAAAATCGTCATCAAATGGCAGGTGGGGATGATGGACTCGAAGATCACGATGATCCTCTCGCCGTGGGAGCTACTCGCAACTCCTCTTTGCCGATGAAGTCGCAGATGATCTTGACCCAGATGGCTGCTTCAATTTTACTACCTCCTCATTTTCATCCACTCCTCCCAAAATGCTCTGCTTTGGTGATGAAAATAGTCAAGACTTTGATTTTACTTTCGAGAAAATTACTGCAAAATTTGCTCAAAAAAGTGGAGTGACATGCAGCGATTCATCTTCCGCCTCTTCAACGACTGTAAACAGCAACATCACTACTGCTATAAGCAAGACCAACGTTAGCTCTTCACAAAAATCAAACGTAAGTAGTTTTGCAGTTTCTCCCGTCATTCTTTTAGCCGCATATATGCTAACTGTAAAAGAACAAAAAAAGGGATTTGGGGGTGGGGGACATCCTTTTCCGGCTCTTATTCTTTTCTCTCTCTCTTATTCCATTTTTTCTTTTGGGTGACTGACAATTTAAAGGCCAATAATGGGCTAGCTAAGATATTGATTAAGCTACCCCAGACCTTGCATGTCTGGATTTTGAGGTTTGTCTTGTTGTGCAGAAAAAGAGAAATGTGTCAGGGGCTATTGGCGCTGCCAACGATGAACCAGTTCAGAACTCAGCCGTCGGTAATGTAGCTCCGGCGGAAGCCAGAAAAATTGTAAGAAAAAGAAATCTGCTGATAACTTGATTGAGACGGCGACGGGGTATGCAAAGGTCAGACAACCCCGAAAGAGGACTTGCATGTCGAGGACACACACACACACTAGCTCGTCATTTTTTGTATTATAATCAATATTGTGCTAAAGATGTTTGTTCAAATTAATTTGTGTGGCATAGGTTAAAAAAGAGAAACTTGGAGAAAGAGTCATAGCTCTCCAGCAACTCGTTTCACCCTTCGGCAAGGTTGATTTTAGTTATTGTTAATTATTTTTTTTTGTCAATTTTCATTGTAACAAAAAGGGTTTTGAATTACAGCATGGAGTTACTTATGGGAAGAAATCTCTGATGTTGCATTTTGGATTTTGCATCGTGTTGTACTTTTGGGTACTGAAAATTGAAACCCCATATGTTACTAATACTAACTTACTCGCTCTGATGGAGCGCTGTAGACGGATACGGCATCAGTACTTCACGAAGCGATGGGATACATCAGATTTCTGCAGGATCAGGTTCAGGTCCTGTGTTCTCCATACTTGCAGCGTCTGCCTTCCTCGCCCCGTTACTTGCTTGTAAGTACTCGCCCAGCATATTCCTGGTACAAGCTTCTTGCGACTTTACTCTGGCTATCTAATATCTTAACCCCCCCCCCTCCCCCCCGGCCCTGGTTTCTCTGTTAATTTTCTGGTTTTGATAACTGGAAAATTCTAATGTATTTTTTCGGGTTGGCTTTGTTTAATAAAAGTCTTAGGCATGTACCTTTTAATTGGTTAAACACGAGGAATGTTGTGGTAAGCTATTCACTAGGAGTACTTGTCTCTGGAGTTTATTGAATGAAAACACGAAAGATGAGACGCTACACTTATATTTCATTTTCACCACCAATTTGTTGGATCTAACGGGGAAAAAGTGAACCGCCACTCCTACTCGAGTACGTACCACACAATGACATTCAGCAATGTCGTCATTGGAAAATTGACGCCTCCTGCTGTAATGTCATCGTATAGGATTCTTTTTCATTGTAAAAATCATTGAAGTCTTACTTGCCTAAGTGGTGTAAACACCAGTGAAGTAAAGATGAAGAAGTTCATAGGTAGTATATAGCTTTGTAGCTTCCTGGGTATGGTTGGTTGGTTAAATTAACTGTACTATGGTCGTGCGCCCCTCCAAAGGGTATCATAACCGTCCTCTTCTCTGTGAAAAACAGGAAAAAGGTGGAGAATGCAAGGAAGGTGAATCAACGAAGGATCTAAGAAGCAAGGGGTTATGTCTTGTCCCAGTAGAGCTCACGCTACATGTGGCAGAGACTAATGGAGCCGATTTTTGGTCACCGGCTATGGTCAACAAGTAATCATCAAACCAATAATTAAGTAGGAGTGTGAATTTTTTGTATGGATGGACAGATGCTGCAAACTTCATAATGTTGATAACCAGGGGAAACAGAAAAAAAAATGGCTGTAAACTGTTGCCCGGATGAAGAAAGAAGTAAAGGTGGTAGGATGTAGCAGAGTAGCAGTACATGGTACTCGTAAATCACTAGAAAAAGAAACAAAAAGGTACATGGTAGGTACTCGCAGTTATAGGATGGCAAATTAGGCAAGCAGGAGCCTGTGAGTTCACTAATTTTGTATTGTCCCATCATACGGAGCTGTTGTGAAAATCTTATGACTCACTGTAGCCAAGTCATCCAACCAAAACTCGAAAAAAAAAAGGGGAAAAAGAAAGAAGACAAAATGACCTCTTGCATTGCCGTCGTTGTACTTGTGTGTTTTCCTTATTGGGTTAATGTGTACGACTTGCATAGGCGCATCCTATGTGTATTCTTACCCAAAAAAAAAAGTAATTGAATGAGAAATAAATAGTTTGTCGAGGAGGTCGGCTTTGTTTGGATTTCTCAATTTTTGAAAAAAATGTTTTTTTATATATAATGCTACAATAATATATAAATAAAAAAATTTCAAAAATATCATATTCATACAATATATCAAAAATAATTTCAAATATACAAAAAATAAAAAATATACCGCTATCACCCATCACTCTCCACCACCATCTTTACCGCCACCATCTCTATACCCATGACCTCCCTCCTCTCTCTCTCTCTTTGCTCTCTCTTCCTTCTCTCCTCTCCTTCCTGCTCTTATCCCTTCCCTTTCCGCCACTCCCCAATTATTTTCTCGCCTTCCACTGATCGGCAACCTTCTTGGTCACGACCAAAATCTAATCGTAACCAGAAGGTCGTGCCCAAAAGCCGCGACTGCATGGCTTTTGGTTGCGACAAAAAGGGTCGGCGGTTAGAGTCGTGACAACCACACTCGTGAGTAGGAGAGGGGTTTGGGGTTGGGGAAAGGAGGGTAAGAAGGAGAAGGGAGAAGAAAGAGGAAGGAGGAGGAGGAAGAAGAAGAGGGGAGAAGAAAGAGAGAGGAGAGGAAGAGGGAGGGGGTGATGGTGAATGGCGTAAAATTTTAAAAAATTTCACAATATATTTTTAAAATATCTTTAAAAATAATTCAAAAATATCTACAATAAATTTTTTTCATATATACAGGTAAAATAAAATATTTTTGAAAAAAACTCCAAAAAATAACTAATCCAAAAAGGTCCCTGAGTTTTTGACTAATTTGGATGGAACTTCGAACCCCGTTCTTTACCTGCATTTGTTCTTTTCACTTCTATGATTTGTTAAACTCAAAACTCAAAAGCAGTAGCATGCCTAATTAAATAGTTCAACGTCACCCCTTTGGAAAGAATAACAAAAGAAAGGGAACAAAGAAAAGGAAGAAATAAATGAAGCCGGAGTAAATCAAAAGATAGGAGTGGAAACTGAAAAAGAAATTGGCCAAAATTGTGTGTACATCATGACTGGGAAGTAATTTTACCAAAATTAATCATAGCCGTTGAATATAATGAAAATAGGCACCCACAGACCAATCTGACCACGTATTGTCTGGAAGCTCACCAGAACCTCCCCGTTTCCGTCATCGGTGGTCGCTTTTACCGCCTTACCGAGTTACCATTCCAATCGACTCGTTTGCCGCTTTATTTTTAAATCTTCCAGAGCAAGTTTGAAGGGAACGAAACCGTTTCATTTCATAAATCTCCAGCGTTAGCTTACCAAGTAAGTACTAGACCATTTTAAAGCACTAGAATTTTGGCACTCCGACAATCAGTATACGGACCGGAAGTCTGGCGGTACTCCCTGCATTTGTTGGCAACGTCTTCCGCCCATTCGAATATTCCATCATCTGCCGTACGCTAATTTCGTCGCCAAGAAGATGAGTCTGAATTCATCGTCCAGGTCCGCCACATCGAATTCAAATTCGAAGCGGAGCGTGACCTCAAACTCTAATTCCAACCCTTCCACTTCGGGCAATAACAGCTGTCGAAATAATGACAAGAGAAACAGGAAGCGGAAAACTGACCAAAATCAGAAAACCCTAGGCATGGCTTGGGGAGCAAATTCTCGATCTTCTTCCCGATCCGCCTTTCGCAATTCACCCTTCCCCGATTTCGGCAGGCAATTCCCTACGTTCTCTATCAAACACTTCAACCTGCTATTAGTTAAACTTGCGTCACTTGATAAACATGAGCCGTCCCATTTGCTATAAAGTTATCTGATTTTTCGTTTTTAATTACTATTTCGTTTCAGATTCTAACTCTGGCTTATACCTGTGCTAGTTGTCGCTAATTATGGCGCTATCCATTTCGTGTTTTATTGCTTATTTTCTCGATGATGAAAAGCACCTTCAGTTAACAGTTTGACATTGGTTATTTTTCTCCATATTTTGAATTTCTTATGATCAAAAGTTACTTGATCCATGATTCGAGTTAAGCTTGATAATAGCTCATTCTAGGTTGGTTTTTGAATCAATTTAAGAAAGCTTTAAGAAATTTCTCAGTTAACTTTAAAAGCTCTGCTCGAACTCGGCTGGAGTCGTGTAGAACCTGAGATTGACATTAAAAAAATCAAGCTAATCGTGCGCTGCTTGAGCTTAGCTCCATATATGCTTGTTCAAGCTCGTGCTCCATCATAATAGGCCAAGCTCGAACACAAATATCAAGTTTGTTATAAATTCAGAAAAGTTTGAATTAACTGTAGCATTTTGGGGAACTGTTGCTTGTAAGTGTTTTAACTGATACTAGTTGCTGCGATTTTTTTGTTTCATATTGTTGAATCTCGACTTTTTCTGTAATGTACTCTGGCCTTGTTAAATGTAGTTACATGGTTATGAAGAATCAGAAGCTACATCAACAGTTTGATGCTGATGCTTCATCTTCTTCAGTTAGTGGTGCTTGTTCTGGAAAACCCATATTTGATGGAGTATCTATTTTTGTTGATGGATATACAGTGCCTTCTAGCCAGGTGATGCCAAATTCTGAGGTTATATGTTTCTCTCTCTTCCTTTTATCTACATTTTTGTATTCTATCTGTGGATTATGTTTCTTATGCTCTTTCTGTACATGCCCAACCCATGTGCTTGGAACTGGTGCTTCCATTTCTGAACTTCTGTACTTGTTTTCTTGGCCCTATTACTTTACCTTTGGAGTGTGGTTCATGCTGACATAAATCTTTTCAGGAACTAAAAGGTTACATGTTGAAGTATGGAGGACGCTTTGAGAATTACTTTTCGCGCCATCATGTTACTCATATTATCTGCAGTAATCTTCCTGACAGTAAAATTAAGAATTTAAGGTTCCGCACTCATCTTTACATGATTCAATATCAAATTGATGCATTGAAATTTTTTGTGCTTCAAAAGAACTTTGCCTGTTACAGGTCCTTCAGTGGCGGACTTCCAGTTGTTAAACCTACATGGGTGCTGGAATCTGTTGCTGCCAATAAATTGTTAAGCTGTGAGTTGGGTTTCATTATTTCATTGTCTCTGGCCAATTCTGCAATGAAATCTTTCGGATGTAACTTTGTAGTAAATGATAAACTCTAATAGGTTATTCAACCATAGTAGGATATTAATTTGTTTGAGAAATCTGAAGGAAGTTATTAGAATTCGTTCTTATTGCCTACTTTCCTTTGATTGATTTGTTTACCTAGTATTGATGACTTATAGTGAAGGGGACAGAGAATTGTTGAAGCAATGGAGTAGAAATAGTCTGTATCTGTAATTAAATGTGTTGGAAGTTCTAATTACTCCATTTTACAGTATCCACAACCCGGTTCTGGTTAAACTCGTTAGACCTTGTTTGCCGCATTTTTTTTCAAAAGGAAAGGTGAAAATTTCAGAAAAAAACAGAAAGCTGATATGTACTCATTAATTTTTTGAGTTTCCTTCAGGGATACCTTACCAGCTTGATCAGCTTGCAAGTGAAACCAAGAAACAACCAAAATTATCAGCATTTGGTTTCAAATCTGGCCCAGTCCTTGATGATTTGGAAGAATCTATAAGCGGCCAAGCGGTGCCTCAATCTGGTATTGCAACATTGAGGACTAGCTGCAGTTTGGAAGCTAATATATTTGGCAAGGCTGAATGTACTGAAGAGGTAGAGGAGTGTCATTCAGTTTCTGATGACCCCTTTCATCCGAATGCTGCCGAATCAGCAGATCAAGCACCAACTTATTGCATGGAAAATCACTGTGAGGTGGAATTGGATGCTGCTGTGGTGGTTCAATCCGATGCTGGATATCATTCGCACATAAGTCCTTGTCAAGATCCTAAGTCAGACCATAACGACTGCTTGGAAGATCACATAATTGAGGAGTCATCGAGTTCCAAAACCATTAGGCCCAGTACAACAGGGCATTCAACTCTTTCAGATGCAAATTTTGTGGAAAACTATTTTAAGGTTAATGTTGTAAAATTTTTCATGCTCTTCATACTTGCTGTTATTTGTAGCTTATTTGCAGATTCATATTGTTCTCATAGTCTAAACTATTCTTTAAGGCCTCTTGAAGAATCTGTTGCCTTTTTTACCAAATTTACTTCTAGAAGCATTTGGTAAAACTTAACATTCAGTTTTTGTAGTAGAGATTTTCGGTCAAGGATGTTGAAAACTCAAGTTTAGCTTTGATTTTAAACGCATTTCACCATCCAAAGCTTTCACTTTGTCATTTTCTTTCTTCTTGATTTACTTGTCGCTCAAATAAACTCCATTTTTTTTATAAAGCACTTGATTGGTAATGTATAGTTCTGATTTTCTGTTTTCCCTTTTTTTTTATTGATAAAGGAATTACATTGCTGTGCTGCTCTTCTTTTTTTTATTGACATAATGGAAGTACTTGTAGATGTCTACAACTAATTGATCTTTGGTCGTTTCAGTTTTCTAGGCTGCATTTTATTGGCACTTGGAGAAACCGTTATCGTAAACGTTTTCTGAGCTCAGCTAATGGTTTTAAGGATATGAATCCCAGTCGTAATGCTTTTGCAACATCCCAGAAAACTACCATTATCCATGTGGACATGGTAAACTCTCCAAGGCAGTATTTTACATGTCTTCACATATTTACCTTTTTTAAAGGTGGTTCAATGTAAGGATTGTGCTTGTCATATGTGTGGGGTATCTATTGGAGTTTTGTCCAAGTATCTCAGCTTTAACATTCTTTTAAACATTGATGTCTCTTTACAGGATTGCTTCTTTGTGTCAGTGGTTATTAGGAAGCACTCTGATTTGAAAGATAAGCCCGTTGCTGTTTGCCATTCAGATAATTCTCGAGGAACTGCTGAGATTTCTTCTGCAAATTATCCTGCTCGAAATCATGGTTTGTCTTAAGCAAATAAGTAAAGATCTTTCGCCACTCCGAGAAGGTTGAAAAAAGTACTGTGAATGAATGAATCATCTTCTTGCTGAAGCTAACAAATAATGTATAAATAATTCTAGACGCAGCAAAATGAAGAGAAAGAAGCTGCGGAAAATGGTGTATGTCGCTAAGCTGGCAATGGGGGTTTGCCCTACTATTAGAATTACGGTACATGACACAATAAAACTCTCTGAGAGCTGAACTATCTCTCATGCCTCGAGTTTTCTCAGCAATTGATCAAATTAACAGTTCCAACTGTAGGAAGATAGAAGGTTTTGAGTATAAGATAGATTACAGTGCTGCTAATTTATGACAGATGCTCTTTAGAGCTTGAGATTCAAGTCAAGCTCATCCTGATTAGATGTCTTGGGCTGCGGCGGTGCTTGATCAAGTCGAAAACTTCCTGGCCACATCAGTTCCATGGTTTCTTCGCGGCACTGCAGCATCTGAGGTCCCATATTAGCTTCAGTAAGCTTTGCAACCATCGTACCTCTATCTCCGTCTGTTTTGTGTACAAGTGAGTGTGCCTGCACGCCGAGTGATCTGATCATGGAAGTATTGACCGGGAAAGCCACCATGAACTGAGATTGATAGCTTCTCATTGCACCTCTTTCCCTCTTGTGGGCGTTTTGGTGGCCTCCCAGTGCCTGTGAACTGTAAAACTTCCGCCTGCAGTAATTACACGAAAAAACTTTGTTAGGTATTCTGCCTGATTGTGGATCAGGGTCTCCGAAGGCTGAGGGTTGATTTGTTGCTAGATATAAGTTCAGCCGTTCTCCCGGATTGAGGTCTGCTGTTCTCCCATCATTTCCTTCACTGGTTTTCATTATGCTTTGTTAGCTTTGCTGCTCTATAAAACTTTCTGCTTCTTTCAGTTCTGGATCCCAATATTGAAGAATATGGAATGGATTTCTGAAGCTTTATCCAGGTCCAGTCACTTTCTCTCCAATAGTTCTGTCTGGATCAGGATGGCAGAGAATAAATTGCGTTGTCATGAAAGAAGTGATGCTAGACTTTATAAACTAAAAGTGTTCCACTTGATGTCTTCATCCGGTGATGCTTTTTTGTTCGGGGGAACAATGCTTGCATCATTATGACTCTTGACAGTTTGAAGCTTGGTATCTTCCCCTTCTCTCTCATTTTCTTTTTACGTATATAAATAATCATGGCAACTTTTTACTGCTTCCATTGGAGTGCCTACCACTAAAGGAAGTTGTCGACTGCACTGTGATTCCATATTTACGGCCAAACCATATAATTTCCTGGTTGTTTGTGTTGTCTGCCACTGATACTGCCTCCTTATAATGTCTACTGCTTTTTAGATTTGATTCGTCTACTTGCTGCAATCTGTGGGTAAGATTTCGTCAGTATAATGCTAGCGAAGGGTAAATTTCAACGACTTGGGCTGGAAGCTTGGATTTTGTTTATGCGTTTGGAGTATGTTTGGAACGGGGATTGGTTGTAGCATTAGCATGGAGGTTCATCCATATGACGCGAGGTAGTTATCTTCAATGCATCTTTACCTTTGGTTGATGTAGATTTCCATGGTGGTGCAACATTTTGAAGTGGTGTTGCACCACTCCAAAATAAACCATTCATGATTCAACTACGGGTGTCGACCGGTTCCCTTGCATTAGGATGATTTTATTTTATCCCAAAAAGTATGTAGAGGATAAAGGCTTTAGCGTCAAGCAGATACGAGGTGAAATTAGTCAGTGGATCCCACTACGATAGTCTCCTGTTTCCTATGCGAAAAAGTGCCAGAGATTGGGAAGTCGGAATGCAGAAGTGAGTGGTTGCGGTGTTACATACGATGAGGTAGTATCATCATGTTGGTTTGTGAAATTGATACGATACGACGTAGTATCATGTTGGTGAGAACTGAGAAGTGTTGGGGTCTTTATATGGGCAATAATGGTTGTTGTAGAGGTCATCAGGAGGTGGTGCTGGTGTAGGTAGATTCTGTTTCCTTCCGAACATGTGTATCTATGTGGGCATCTTCATGTTCGCGTCCTTTTTAGGCATGCAGCGGTAGAGGTGAATTACAAGCACTGTGTCACCCCCCCTTCTTTTCACAAGGTATCCAATGTAAATGACTACCTCTGGCTCTACCAACCAACATGGAAATGTCAAGTCACTTTGGAGCAGTGGGTGAGAGTTTGTTGAGCTCACCTTTCCCTTTCCATCTGGATGCTCGGGTATGCAAGAATGTGAAAAGTAATCACGAAGAGGGCCATATCATCCCCTTCGAACTTGAGATCTCAGATCAGTTCATGACACCGAATGGATAGAAAAAGGCAAAAGATGAGGTAACGTATAGAAGAATCCTCCTGATTCCTTGCTCTAGCAGCATCGAATTATGAAGGGGGATCACGACTTCGACCATGTATATCTAATATCTCCATGGAGTAGTTTAATAGTCTAGTGCCACTTAAACCATCCCACTGAAGCCCAATGTGGAGGGGAGTAATACTCGGGAAGTTGGAACTTTCCTAACTGAATAAGTTTGAGATTCATTATCCCCCTGTGCCCACATCCAAATAAGGTGCTGCATCATGATGGTCTAGGTGGATGGCAACAAAGATTAGGCAAAGGACCACTTGGAGCAAGTGTCTGACTTCACTATAGATTTCTTTTTTCTTGGCATCTGTTCTTCATCTTCATGCATACAGTCCAATGACTTGCAGGTCGTCCAAAGATTGAGGTCACCTCACATTTTCCGGCTAATGCAATTTAATTACAACCAGCGACAGCAAACCAAAACCATGGAAGCTCAAAAATTAATTGCGCTGTCAATGAAATAACCTTGAACTACTCACCTAATTGGCCAGTTATTTAAACAAAACTCGATCCCTTCTCTCGGAATGCCCAACATAGGCTTCCATTCCAATTTTCAACAATTCTGTCTCCTCCCTCTTTACTGCATTCCAGAAAATAAGAAGCACCGGCTCCTCGGACCATCCTAAACTACCCTAACCTGTTATCAGATAACCCGAAATATTGAAGCTAAAACAAGTAGCTACACAGCTTAATCCAGGCGACTCAGTAGCGATAACAAAAAGAAAATTGTAGCGTTCATCATGAAAACAATTCTTTAATCCAAATAGAAGCTTGTTAACTGCCCAGACTGTAATGACGTTGTAAAGCTTCACAAGAAGGTCAATCTGCATAGCAAACACGTACAGTTGCTATTGCCTCCTTTTTTTCTCTAAAGCTAACACAGCTGAAAATCATTCTCTGATATGCCAATCGATAATAATGGCTTCTCTGATCCAGGCAGTTCTAGGGCCAGGCAGTTAGAGCACCAGAAACATAAACAATGGAGTTTGGTTGCTAGCAGACGATTTGCAATTTTCTCATAGACGAACAGAGAAGAAGAGCTGAGCACAAGGCTCAGTATTCCTGGTATGAAGTGGGAATGTTTAGGTGTTTAGCAAAATGTTGTGTGCGCTTTACTTGCATGAAATAGTTTCAAATACATGACAGAGAGGAAGCTGCAATATTGAAGCCAAGTAGAAATTTACACGTTGAAAGGAAACTATAACAGCAAAGCTAGGAATTTTAGAACGAGAAATTCATGCATCAAAATTATATGAAGATCACAACCCACTTGCTCGAGTAATCCACGATATTGTTCTAAGTCATTAAATTTCTAGTTTCTAAGGAAAAAAGTGAACAAACGACCTACACCTATTCTCATTGAAATTTGCAATTCCAAGAAGCAGTTCCTGTAAGGTTTGTCCAAGTCAACTAGCAGCTGTTGTGCTGATCCAACAACATGTTCAAGTACCTGCCATCATACAAAAACATGCACAATGTATATTATGTGAGGTCATGCCAACAAACATCGGAAGCAAGATTGTACATCCATTGGCAATTAATAGTCGTCACACCAACACACAAATCTTTTTGGGTATATTGTACAGGTTGCTTAGGTTTCCCATGGTAAATATACACGCAATTAGACTCTTGCTGGCCAATGGCAGAGCTCCAACCAAAAAAATGGTCAGAAGATTGAAAGGAAATATTGTGCTATCAGGAACGCAAATGCACTTCATCTAAAGAGATCCTGATAAAAGGACAATTAGCTATCAAGAGAGTATTTGGCCAAGGGCGAGAACCAAATTTGCAAAAGTTGCCAGTATTAGTTTGAGGGCAAAAAACCAACAGAGAGGCAAAGCCACTTTCACATAGCAATGCAGACAAAATACTTATTTATCCTCTTGAACAGGTGAACCCATGACAAACAGCAATAGTAAAAACGAGAATTGGAAAGGAATAGACACTAACTTTGCAGCATTTTAACACCACTTGCTAATCAGTAGTTCATTATTCATGGAAATATTTCAGCCAATCTTAGGTCGGGAATCAAACTCATGCGCTCACCCGCAATAGGAAAACAGTTCCACACTGCTTTCCTTACTATTTAATTTAACAATACAAAAATGCAACATCATTAAGATTTCCTATGTACCCCCAGAAGCTTGAAACTTCTTTTGAGTTTCCGAGGATTTTTTTTTTTTGACCATTCATACGGCGTCAAGCAAACTCCATAGACAATATTAAAGAACATGATAGCAGTAAAAAAAGAACAAAAATAGAAACCTACAGTGCGACCATTACTCCCGCCTTTGGATGCTCGGAATTGCAGCTGACATCACCCATCTTTTCCATTCCTCCCTATCAATAATCCCAATCATCCCAAGTTCCTTCTTATTAACCAAAAATTCATAATCCAACGAAAACTACTCAACTCAAACTACTTAACCCCTAAGCCAGATCGGCCAAGCACCAATATGAAATTTCATGTCGTATAGATTATAAATCCGGATTGCGGAAAAAAAATGGATATTTTAACAAACAATTGAAGTGCGTGGGTTATACGCATTATTCATTGGCTCATTTCTCTATCAAGTATTCCTGTTAAATTTAGAAGCATAAGACCAAATAAAGAAACTTAACTACTACTAGCGATCCTGACAAGTTCGGCAGAAGGTACCGTGAGACAGCTCGCAACAAGCCCGCAAGTTAGCAGTCAAGTGGGATGTCAGTTGGGCTCCGGCCGTCACATTGCACAGAGGCATCAGGGATTGAGCGCATCCCAGCTCGCCCGTTGTCCTAACCATTCATACGGTACGATAGAGATTAAAAAAAAAAACCACAGTTAATGATTTGGAAAAGTATTTAAAAAAATTCTTTCAAGGTTTTTGCAGGACAAGATGATTTAGAAAATGGAGCCCAGAAGGAGACGAGGCGATAAACCTAGGATGGGCGAAGGAGAGGCGACGAGGACGGAGACGAAGGGAGGAAAGAGTTGGAGGACGGACGCGGGGCACAGCTGGAGCTGATCGGAAGGTGGAGGCTCTCGCGGTGGAGAGGAGTGATCTGGAAATGGAGCCACGCCAAGCAGCAGCCATTACTGATATTTTTGTTAAGTTTCGGTGTGTTTGCACTCTGCAGCGGGAGCTGAGGGAAAGGACTGAGGATTAGAAATGCGGGCTGAAAGGGTTTTGTGCTGGGATTAGGGGTTTTAGCGTGGCGGGGAGGGTAAGAATACGGTGTTGCGCAAGCTCAGGAGTGTTTGATGTGGATTCGACTAGTCTTAGGATTTAAATATTTTGCTTTTCATTTTTTTTTTTTAATAGGGAGGAATTTTGCTAAAGACATGAAGAGAGAGCAGCGAAAGGAAAATAGAAGGACAAACAAATAAAAGGAAAAAGAAAAAACCCCAATTTAATACTTGCGATCCATTGCGAAATCAATCACCACTAGATTCAAAGTGGTAACTATTTCTGTTTGTTGGATTTTCCTTTGACGTTGAGCATTGCTACCGCGAAGGCTATTATATAACTGATGTCATCACGACGCAAAGCATCAATCCTTCCTGAATGAATGGTCTCAGACTCTGTAATATTCCAACTCATGTCGTGTAGCTGCTGATTTAAATGAATGAAAGTGTTGATCTTTTCCCTCAAAAGCAGATGTGGTGGCAAACGTAACGATACATTTTATCCCAAATAATTTGAACCGCAATCTCTCAGGACAATGCATCAGTAGGCTCATGGCTACCACCAAGTAGGAATTATAGCTGGGGATTAAGAAAAGATGAGGATCCAAGAAGAACTTAGACAGAGAGAACCAGCAAAAGCCCCCTTTTAGTTAGGTTCAAATAGTAGTAGTAATAAATATGACCAACTTATTCATTCCTATTCTCCCCAGCGAAAAGCTTATTCAAGAGCATGCGACCTCACACACTGCAAGTGCTTATTGAACGTGTAAACTGTGCCACAAGATAATGTTGTGGTGACAGAAGTCCCTCCATAATGTAATCTTTTTGTGACGTTGTGATCCTCAGACCAAAGGCCAACTTCATCGAGCTCTCCTCCGCTCCAGCACATGCTAACAGTCACACCGCCCCGCGCCTTCAAGCCTTTGACGCAGCCACTATCCCATTTATCTCGAGGTAGAGCAGGGAGCAAGTATAACTCTTGCATGGTGCTCTGAACGAGCATTTCTGCCAAGGCTGCAGAGAAGCTGATACCAGAATTTGCACATGTATGTTAGCACCCAAGATGATTTTGCTTAACATGGTCTGGAATGAGGAACAATTATTAAGCTCTGCCCGTCCTAAAAGGGTAACAGCACTCGACAAGCTATAATATCAGAATGAATCATTTCTACATTCATTCATTCAGAAACATAACCCTAGAAGCTTTTACCAGTAAACACAGTGTGCTGAGACTACAGTGTTAAGAACTGCATGTCAATGTCATTCTAGAGGTGCACGTATGCTTACCCAAAGTTTGCATCAATCTGGAAAGGAGGATGTGCGGCAAAGAGGTTACTATAAAGTCCACCTTCAAAACTTCTCGGATTCTCAGGATCCACTAAATCAAAGAGATGCTTGACCATCTCATATGCATGCTCACTGTTATGAAGACGCGCCCACAAAGCAGTTTTCCATGTAGTTGACCATCCTGGACCTTCTATCCCTGTTCCAAATAGAAAACAAGTTGACAACTAGAAAGACTCTTTAGTACTCCACTTTTTTAGAAGATGCCGAGGAGTATCATAATTAAATTCAGAAAACTGGCAGTTAGATAACAAGCCAATCAGCAAATCTGGCAAGCAGATGTCAAACATGTAGAACAACGATAACATTACTCAGCCATACGTGCCGAGATACCATAGAACTGCTCGCTGGTTCTTTTCTTCTTAATCTAAAATTCTTTAAAATGAATTTAGTTCTTAGTATGAACCTTGTAACTTGCCAGCATGCAGTGGCGGAGGAATATTATCATCCAGAAGCCAAGGTTACATAAATCCTATTAAGCCAAACACCATATTTATCCCCCCATAATTCACAATGAAACAACTTTTACTTTCTTTTTTTCTTCCCATCACATCATATGCAAATAACGGACAAAACTCAATTAATCGGTTGGATCAGATCCAGTAACACTTCTTAGGAGGGAGGGGTTGGAGGTGACAAATGACTAGAATTAAAAGGAATCGAGATTCTGATTTCAATACATTTTCTGAAGAAGTCTCAATACAAACCTCTTTTCTGTAGTGATTTTTCTGCTGCTTTACAGAGGTCAGGAGTTTTCTGCAGAGTTATTGTATGACCAGGGAACAAGCCAAATAAGTGTGATAAATGCCTATGATGCACCTCAGGATCCTTGAAGTCCTTTGCCTGTCATCAGCATAAACAACTTAACAAACTCAACTTACTCTTTTGGCCAAAACGAAACCAGTCTAGCAAGCATCAATCTATTCTAGCATAATTTTTAAAAATGTTCCAAAAAAAATAGAAGTGGTTCAGAGCATAACAAACCCATTCCATGATGGTTCCATCTGTAGAAATCTTGGTTGGATAAAGACGTTGCTGAGCTTTACGAACTCTTTCAATCAGAATGTCTTTGCTCTTATCTAACACCTTCAAAAGTATTCTTAGTGCATTAATTACCGAGTGTTGCCACTTTTGGGATCAGGATGAAGTGTCTAAGGGTTTGGGGAGGGTAGGTTTTTTTGTTTGTGTGTGTTGGAGGGGGGGGGGGTGGTGAAAAATGATGTACCTCAGCAGCAGATACAATGGCAGAGAAAACTTCCCTAGTGATAGCCATGTCCATAGTTGAAGTATTGCTGACACTGGCAGGCTTACCATCAGGTGCAGTAAAATTATGCTCGGGCGAGGTTGATGGATTGGTTCCTAGATAACCCTCAGGGCCTTCAATCAACCAGTCCAACAAGAAAGCAGCACATCCTTCCAACAAAGGATATGCCTTATTTCTGAGAAAATCCTGACCAGAGAAAAATAACAGGAATTAATAAATAGTACTGTGAAATTCTGTTGTCCTTTATCACTACTAACTCGTTGCCAAGAAGACAACTTAAAACTTTCTCTACCAACATAAAATTTAAGAATTTGTTACTATCATTTCACAGTAAAATAAACTTGCAACAATATTGCTTCTAAAACACAGTTATACCGGTGATGCGCAAAAGCCACAGGAAAACTATCTTTTCAAGGTTTGACAACCTCTAAAATGAAAGTTACATAAAGTATGAGGAGTTTAACCATGACTCAGAAAGTTAACTGGAGCTAATATGTTCCCTTCTGCAAATGTATCGATACAGAGAAATAAATGCTTTAAGATGTTAGCATAAAAATTCGTAACTGCCACTTCACTAAGTTTAAACATTTACAGGAAGGTTAGAAGCATACTCCAGGCAGCGATCCCAAGCCCAAAAGGCATTAGGGGGCACTGCACTTGAGGTAGCAACTAACTGACCCCAGAGAGAGAATAGAGAAAAAACTACAATCCATGAATTAGGTTAACGAAAAATATTGAAAGACAGCATTAGATGCTCATTAAGATGATACATTCCAGCATCTATCCGAGTGTGCCAAACATGCACCTTCAGAGCAAAGGCTCTTCTATTGTAAAATGAAACAGGAGAAGGAGGGCCGAACAGAAAATTTAAAATCCGTGCAACCATTCTGACTAATTGAAGAATCAAGCAATTAATGCTTTAAGGAAGAAAGGTGATCACACATTTCTTACTTTGTCCACTGTATATGTATAATGCTCCCATAAATGGGTACACAACCATGCTCCACCCATTTGCCACAATGCCCACACTGGTTGACCAAAATCTGGGGATGATTTTGCCCATATGTCAGAGATCTGATGAGCAACCCAACCACTTGCTTGATAGTTTACCTGTATCATTCTGTAACTTAAGTACATGGAAGTTTTACGTGTACAGTTGAAAGAGAAATTTAAAGCTGTGCGTGCTTGCCAGCAATTCAACCACATAGTGCATCAAATTAAGAAAACACATCAAATAAGCCATCAGAGGCTCTTCCTAGTGAACTGCTCATACCAGTCACACTGGTGACATGAGACCACGCTAGCTTAGGGATATTGTTCACTAAAAGCCTCTTGGCTTATACCAGTATTTGACTGAATAAGATAATAAATTCACCTCATTCTCCATTCCCCACAACACAGACACACAGAGACATGGGAGGGAGAGACCTCAAATCATTAACAAAACCCAGTGCATGACAAGACATTTCCACTTGCCTTTTCCCAATACTAGTCATATAAAAAAATATTAGTCATATCATAACAAGTCTTCACGAACTAAAGATTGAAAGGAATCTAAACTTAGCAGTTTTATGTCCATTCACTGAAAGAGAAGATATATAATCAAATAAAGGCTCCTGGCTCTCCTTAAGATTGCAGGGAAGAGAAGGCCAATAGTTCATTTGTAGATTGATATTCAAGTGAGGAGCACAGCTGAAGATGCACAGCAATGGTCTAATTAATAGCTTTCCCAAAAATTATCATGCAAATAAAGACAGAAGTAGAAAGGCCTACACTGAAACAAGCATAGATACTAATCATATAAATGCAATGCATTAGGGAGAAAGGAATGCAGAACATACTCCCACGCTGGATGAATATCTTTGTTCCATATCCCTTGCAGGTTTGATGCCTGAGTTCCAGGGCGTGAACTAGAAATAAGCAGATATCGACCAAATTGGAACAGAAGCTCTACCAAAGATGGATCTTCATCTGTTTTAAAAGCTTTCACCCTATCTGCAGTTGAAATTGACTGTTTTTGACCTCCAGCCAAACAGTTATTAGTTAAGTTGCAGCCATTTCCTATTGAACTTTTGGAGCTTTTTGAGAGCTGCAGTGAGACACTATGAAAAAGATTTTGATGGTCGCTCACATGCCGAGAGTATACCTCAGAATAAGAAAATCTTTTTATTGAATTCAATGTGCTAAGAGCCTCAGAACTGGGATCGCGTTGGGAATCGGAAGGATTGATAAATGGGCCATCGAATGAAGATGATGCTGACAACATGATGATGGCCCAATCACAACCCTCAACATGAAGTTTCTTGTCATCTAAAACATGTAATGTACCCATACTACCACTGATCTGTAAATCAAGAAAAGCTGAGAACTGAATTCCTTCAGGATAGTCATCATCTTCTAGTGATTCAGATGCAATTCCTTTGCCAGGACAACTTCCCTGCATAGCAATCTGACTTTTGCCCTTTGCATATGAACGGTGATGTAATTCACTGTCCAGCGATGCAGTGAAGTTCAAACGCCCCGGTTTGTTTCCAGAAATCTTTACTACTATTGCTTGATCTGGATAAGAGACAAAGTGCTCCCTTGTAAATTCTACCTCATCTACTGAATATCTTACTGTTACTGTTGCAGTATCCAAGTCCAGTTCCCTGTGGTATGACTCTTTGTCATATTTAGTATGGGAATCGTCAAACTCTATCTTGACATCTCCAAGGGGTTGGTATACCTACACCACAAGCAATGCAATAAGCTATCCATGGATTTCAATAGAGATTTCTCAGCCAGGAGAAAAGATACAAAACCAAGATAGCAAGTAAATAAGCCATAACTACAAAACTGTAACTCCATTTAAACCCTAGCAGCATACCTCAAATGCAACATTGTCCTAAATTTGATGGCAATAGAAGTTCATTACCTAGCTGATAATAAAGTTTTCTACTTAACTAGTGACCACTCTTCCCCTATTCTTTGTGCCTGAATTAACCAACTCCTTCCACCCCCAAAAAAATATTCCAGGCCCTTTTTCTGTCAATAAGACTAGTGCGAACTACATTTTGATGAATAATGCCCCAGCTTGAGCATGTCATTATATGTCATGGGCAGCATAGAAAAGGATGACATTACATGGCATTAAAGAGCTACGTATTTCAACAGTGAGTTAACAAGCTAAAGCATTAAAGGTGTGAATCGTGTATTCATTCCAGTCTGCAATATGGCGCCGAAGATCTCCTTCCATGCTTAAACATATTGAACTGTTAAAACTGCAACAGTTACTACACTCCATACTGAATTTTCCTCAGAAAAAAAAATGTGTATGTCGAGGCAATAACGAAGGTTCAAAGTGGCTATTCCACTGCAGAACTTGCACTAAACTCCACATAGCAGCGGCAAAGAGAATTACTGTATCCTACTATAATTGTAGATTCTCATCTAAAAGGACTGCTAAAACAACACCAAAATAACTTAAAAAATTATGATCAAACAGTGTACCTCAGATGGTTCTCCCGATAACTGTGCTGCTGCACTGGTAGCCTCTGCATATTGGCCTTCATTAACAAGTTTCCTGACCTCAGCTAGCGCTTCTGGAGCATTTGGATCAGTGTAATCCCCAGGAATGCCCGTCCAAAGTGTGTCCTCTACATTCGAATATCCAAGACAAAATAATCAAATAAAATATAAAAGCAGAAACTTTTAATATTATCTTGTTCTGCTATTGCAACTGGGCTACCTGCCTTATACAATCACATAGAAATTGTTATACTGGATGACAGATATATGGGCCAGTAAATTCCAATTTCCACCGAAACCCAAAGCAAGTTGATATGAAGAAGCAAAAGAATTAGACTTCCCACTTTCCTCTGTCTCTTATAAATAAAACCATAAAAGCAAATAGCTGCTAACCAATAAGACAAAATTCAGGCACCCAGCAAAGTTAAGAAGACCAAGAGAAACCAAGTTGAACAAATAATCCATTCCACTGCCATATAGCCACTTTAATACGGTAAAAAGAAAGAAACAAGAAAAAGGTAAAATTCTGTAGTTCTTAAGAATCAGGACGTAAAAAGGAAAAAAAAAAAAAAAGGCTGCTAACTTTACCGTTAAGGTTGAGAACTTCGGCTGGAACACCCCCCCAGACCATAGCACCAAGACGACCATTACCAATGGGAAGAGCATCAGTCCAATACTTAGCTGGTTCATTGAACCTAATCTTAAGAGGGTCCGAACCCGAATTAGACCCTGAATTTGATGATAACAAAGTTGGGCTCCATGCATCTCTGTCACAGGGTTTCTTCACAAGAACCCATCTATGACCTTCTTCCATTTGACGAATTGGCGAAGCATCATGGACCAAAAACAATTCTAGACTAAACAGTATAGTCAAGTAGACAATGAAGTTAAAGAAAGCCACTTTTGCTTACTTTATTTCCCAAATATTTTATGTTTGAAACTTGATCTTTTTCAGAGAAATGGTACAACACTGGTGAGCCAGCGAACTGATGAGCGAAATCAGTGGATACAGGGACTGTGATAAAAGATACTAGAAAAAACGTCGGTTGGGGTTGGTAAACGGGGCCCGACGTGAATGCTGATGAGAAGAAACGAATTATGAAGTGACAAGGAACCAGGGACAAAGACATCACTTTCAGCAAGTCAAGAGAAACAGGACCCATTTCTCTGAATGCACGCGCCATATACCGTTCCTCCTCCTCTGTCTCTACGTCAATCGCCTGGCTTTTGGCTTTATTATGCTTCGTCATAAGTTTGAGTCTCGGCTACAGGATGTATTCTCATTTTGCATTGATAATTTGGTTTACGATTGTATTACTAGCTGTAGTTTGTTCACCGGAAGTTTCGATTATGGAACATCAGGATCATCGGTTTTTGTGTTTTAAAGCCTCTCTGGTTTTAGAGTACTCTCAACTTTCTAAGGTTTCTGATCCGTCTAGTTTGGAGCTTTGTGTTAAGTTCATACAGCTGAGACAACTTTCAATGGAACAAATTACAATTTCGGAAATGAACAAGCGTCTCACGTTACCATTCTTTTTATCCGTATTCTGTACCAAAGTCATTCAGGCGGAATCACACACAAATGTAATCAACCTTTGTGCAGGGAGCTTTGTTTAACGAATGTTGGAACAACCTGGTATGGGATCATTTGTTGATTTAAGAATTACAGGAGCATAGTTGCCAGTACAGGAAATGAACAACTGGATGACATTAGAACAAAATAATTCACACGAAGTCGTCATAAACATTTATATATACAGGGTAGAAACTAGGTCATGGGAACAAGACACACGCCACGCTTCAAGTTAGCCTCTCATGTCTCCATCACATCATATGTTATCCATATTAGCATCAAGACGCCTAATAAGCCTTAGCCTGGAGGGACCAAAACATAATCAAGAGAAGCTCTACAAAATATATTATAATTGCTCCTATATTTAACAAAATGGGGTCAACAGTTCACTATCGGATGCTTGATAGCAGATGCAACTGCTGCTCTGTCTAAACAGTTTGTATCACCACCGGATCATCCTCCTCATCTTTTGGATTAGATAATTTTTCATCATAAGGAGGCATAAGATCTGACTCATGCACTATCTTGATTCTGGTCTTCATCTGATCAAGCTCCATCTTAACAGATAATAATTGTGACATTAGCTGCTCCCTTTCCCTGATCCAAGCAGCCCTTTCAGTGTCATGTTCTTCTCGGATGAGATCAATTCTTTCTTGTAACCGTCTGCACTCACTGCTAATTTCATTGATCTCGTCCAAATGCTTATCACCAGTTGGGGAGAGATCATCAGCCCACTCAAAGAACTCACATTGCTGGCAATGATTGAAGCAGCATCATTTAAGTATGATACATGTGGAAGGTAGCAGACAACATTCTCACGCGTGAAAGCCAGAAAATGCATACTTACATCAGCAAAATCACTCTTAGGACAATTATAGAACAACCTAAACAGGTTTGCACGTGTTCTTGATACTCTTCGTTCTGCCGTCAGCCCACATTTACACTTCAGTTCAAAGCCTTTAGAACATTTCAGGTCAGAGACTTCAAGTGAACTCATCCCGCTAGTTCCTCAACCTGCAGAAACAACGAAGCCATATCATAATTCAAGCGTACTATTAAGACACTTTTGTGATTGTCTTTTTGATGAATTGATTTGCCCCAGCATTGGTTTACATTGAAGAAATTAGTGAAATTGTAAATATACGGTGAAACACACACACGCCAAAACTAGTGCAAGCGTTTTCTGCTCTCTTTGAGGGTCGTTGTTGCATTAGTGAGACAAGAGACTAGTAGATTTTTTTCTCTCTTTTTCCCCTTCTTAAAAACCAATTATAGAATTACAATTCGATGAATCCACACTACAATCCCAATTTACAGCTTCACACCAACTCACCAAGGACCACAAACTCAAAAGTGAGACTATCAAATCATCTCCAAATTTTCTACCAGTCTGCATTGCACCTAGCACGATCCTTACTAAGATTATAGTGATAGAAATTTGGCTCTCGTGTAACATCTTCCAATTGATCATTCTACTTCGACAACTTACCACTTGCATATTTACATAGTAGTATTACTGTATTGGTCAGACAAACAGTTTAATTGGACCCATTGATCATCAACTTAAAAAAGCTTAAACCTACAAAAAAACAAAGACATGAACAGAAGACATAAGCAGTAAATTTTTGAACCTTGGATGTGAATGTTTATGCTTAGTTGGGGCATCCATACGTGAAGGCTAATTACTACTGAAAACTAACCCGTTAAGCTGGTAAACTTGGGATGATCAAAATCACCAAGAGTCAGGTTGCCCCGTCCTCCGTAAAGCCGAACTTCAGCAAGAGGAGGACTTTGGAGAGAACACCGACATGGTTGGCTAGTAAAGGACCTAAAGGTTTGTAAAAAGCACCGACAAACCCAAAAAGCCCTTCACTTCACATGATCATCTGACGGAGCTTTGATTAAATGAACAGTTATGTCCCGTCGGGTGGCAGAAAGACTTTTTGGGTTTTTACAAGTCTGCCTGGGGTTGGAGGTTTCTAGGATTTTTCCCCTTCCATTTTTATATTTCTCATAGTTGTTGACCTCACGATTTTTTAACCTTCTAAAATGAGTGCTACGGCATTTCAAAAAATTGAAAAAAATTTAGTTCTAAGGTAATTATTTTCTTTTCTAGTTTTTAATATTCTCTATTTTGGTGGTAAAGGCGTAAAGCCCCCAAGAAGTTGCACGATAGCTCGATGCACCCTCCGGGATACCATCAGAACCAGCTTTTCTCGTGGCCATCTTTATCTGTTTCCACCTCGGACTTCACTCGCAATTCTAAATTGATTAAAAAATTCAAGATAGTAAGTGGTGGTGTGCACCTATCTGAAATCACTTTTAAAGTGGCTGGCCACATAAAATGTAAGATAGTAAGAGGCAACGTTTTAATTCTATTTCTTGTTTGTCTTAATTCCAATATACTTACTTGGTAAAATGTTCTTTGCCACCTTGATCGTTCAATTGCATCAATTTCCTCCTTGTAGTTTTACATGTTTTGGAATCGAGCACAATTGGCACGGAATGCCCAATTCTTGAATGAATTGGTCATGTCCAAATACATGTTTTTATGTACAAACCAATTTACCCCCACGTATGATCTCTAGTTGACTTACTAAAAACATAACCATTAATTTTCAAGTGATATTTCATAACACTACTATTATCACATGTTCTCTCGTCACTTCTCTTTCAATCTACTATAGCTGTACTATATCTTGTTAAAATTGTAGGTGATGTGTGACTTTCTTGATTATTGACTCTTTTACTACTGAAAATAGAATTATTTTGAGGTGATTAAATTAGGATTCTAGCTAAGCAAGAGAGATGATGGTTCATGGAGCTAACCTCTCCATTCTTTTTTTTTTTTTTTTTTGAACCCCAATGATTTTACGTATGTCTCCATTCTCTTGCCTCCAATTGTCAGACACAAAATTCGAAAACATAGTAATAATAATTTGTAATATCATTTACTTACTTCATAAGTGTATTTTACAAACAGGAAAGCATCTTAGAGTCTAGAATCTATATGGCAGAACATGCTACTGCATGCTTATAGTACATCACACCATGAAACTTTCCCTGAAAAAAACAAAGGAAGAAAAAACTGTGAAATCTGAGCACTTTTGCAATGGACCATATCTGCCTCGCATACACCTCCCTTGCTACGTTTACCTATATTTGGCAGGAATTAAAGGTAAATCTACCTCATCACACCACTCAACACATTTTGTCTCATAATATGAACTCTTTACGTCACTTGGCCAATAAGTTAGCCAAACTTGACCACCCATTCTCCATTTCAACACGCTCCCTTCCATTTCCTTGTTCAATCTCCACCCTACTCCTCCATTCCCGCCGCAGCAGTCCTCGCCGGCGAACACCACCCCTCCACTCTTGGTAAACGCCCTGTTCCCTCCCGCGTACCTTCTCATGAAACTATTCACCGCAAGATAATTTTCACGGCCCCCAGTAGACGGCTTCCACGTGGCAACCTCCTTTCCAGTTGTATTGTCGCATAACATCCCATCAAAAATACCTGCATTTCCTTCCACGTCTTGGTCCCACCTCCAATTTTTCATTTTTGTTCTCGTTGCCATTCTTGCCACCCCCTTCACCTTGGGTGTTTTTATCTCTTTCCCGTAACTGCCCTTGAAGATTTTTTGGATTTCCACCTCCCTCTCCACGTTGTCCGTAGACCGGCCCAAACTCAAACCACCCACGTAACTGGCCCCAATCTCGGGCCCAACCCAAACTCGAACCCGTGATGGAAAATGCCTCTCGTTTCTCAAAACATCATCATCATCGCCCGACTCCTTGCTCTTGAATCCTAGCTTTACAACGTGGAGGCGAATGTTGTCCACAAGTGCGTGAACTCGGATAAACGCATCACAGAATTCGACTTTGTACTCCAGCTGAATAACAGCCTCCAGCTGCTGATGTCCCAGAGAATATCTTAGCGCAGATTCTTTGGGTTCAATCACGGGAAACTGATGCATATTAGGATTTCGATTCGATGTTACGCAGTCCATGGCTGTGACTGGAGTGTAGCCTTTCAGAATCCACAGCCCATGAGACTCCGTTGCGTATGAGAAACCAAGACGATGAGATGCAGAAGGCGCTAGCGCTTTTAATCCTGCCTCTAGGCCCCCGACTTGACGGAAAATCAATGATTTTGCCAGCATATATCCGAAAGCCCGCATGAGACACAGCTCCACGTCGGTCCCTCCTGAAACAAAGAAAGTTCTCAAGACCGGCGCCTGCTTGCACGAGAATGCACCCAAGTTTGGAGCGAGTAATGAATGGAAGTATAGAGAACCGACTTCAGATGGTGCGTCAAACACGCATATCCAGAAAAGTCGGGCGAGGAAGATGAGGTGGAAGAAGCTTGAGAAGGATTCGGGGGAGTGCGAGTCCAGAATCCATGCAATGGGCTCGGGTTTGAGCTTCTGGAGCTGTGAGCGGGGACAGGTGCTGTCGTGGGCATTGGGTGAACGGGAGATTATCTCCTGGAGGAGTTGGAGGACCAGAGGCAAGAATGGCTTGTCTTGAGCAAGGTGACACTTGTCAGAAACCCAGAGGGTAGCAGTCGAGGCTTCAGCCTCTGTACTATCAGAGTACTTTTGGAACACGACTGAGAAAGTTAGCGATACTTCCGATTTGGGCTCAAATGTTCTCTCAGCTCTGAGTTGAATCGACGTCTGGGTAGAGTTGGAGATTGGTTTGGAACTTGTGAGTTGATAACTGAGTGAGGTTGACTCCGTGAACCAATCTTCCGAGTCGGGAAGTTCACAAATCCATGACCATATATCCATGCTTTCTTGATGAGCGGTCAGTTTTGTGGTTTCCATATCTTTGTTGCTGTAAGGCTGTAAGTAGGGTTTCGTCGGGTAGAGGAGTGACTGCTGAAGAGCCATAAGGTCATATATACAGGGAATGAGTGAAGGAAGTACAGCCACCTTGGAGACCGTTTTGTCCGTGAGGTGGGTTGATTTCATCCGAATCAAACTGGTGGTGGTCTCGGGAGAGACTTGTCGATTTGAGGTTTTCATTTCCCTGCATTGATTGCTGGTGATATTTACATGTGATTATCTTTTCTTTTCTTTGTAGCCATATATAGTTTTTGTGGTCTCAGCATTTGAAATGTCCTGGGATTGCATAATTTTTAACATATACTTGGAGTATATGATTCTATCCCCCTGGTAATTTGGAGTTTCTTGACATGCATGGGGTCCTGGGGATGGGGCATAAGAAATGGACCAAGGCATGTCCATAAAAAGGCTAAATTTTGTGGGATAAAATCGAAAAGGAAGTCTACCAACTACAAATACTTAGTGCTTTATTTCCTAGACACAAACCACAAAATTAAAGAAGTCTACCAAACACATGCAAGGCTAGGTGATGATCAAATAGTGATGAATACATATAAGTCGATGATTCAAGTTACGCATATATAGCTTTTTTCTCAGTTTTGTTAGAGTCAAGTAGCAGCGGAGAGGAGTTGTTCATTACGGTCTACGTATAGGTGTTTGTGTCCTTACACACGTTCGAAAGAAAAAAATACATCCAATGGAAATGGATGATTTCTTGAAGCCGCCCTACTTAAATTGTCCAATTGCTTTCACACAACCAACTTAGAACGAGTTTTTTATTCCCTTGATTTTTATTGTTATATGCTAGTTGATGTTGCATCAGATAGAACATAGAAGTACTTGTACTGGATTGTTAGCAGGAAAAATCACGCAGTAAAGATAACATTAATCTTATAAATAATAAATAATAAGAAGGATTCGGGAGGAAACAAAATATTTTGTTTCAATTCACTAATTTCCCTCTACCCAAATCTAGGACTCCAAGTGCTTAAACAGAGAAATATAACCACACATCCTGTTGTAATTATAATATCAAAACATGATTCAACCTATTTTCTAAATCAATTTTGACATCAATTCTAATCTAGTTACCAAATAAAAAATATAATATCTTTGCTTTGGATCTCAGTTCTCACTGGTCCATTTCATATTCGAGGTAAAAATCTTATTTTAAACTTTTTTTAATACTCTATTCTAATATTTTTATATCTTACCTAAATTCATTTACACTCTACTCTAATTTGCTTGCATCACAGGGACAAATTGATCTAAAATGGAGCTTGTGAGGCTCATCCCCCTTGGCATACAACAATTTTGGATGCCAAAAGCATGTTAATAATTTTTTATTTTTTGTTTTTTCTTTGAAGAAGTTAATACTTCACATACATGGTGCGTTTTTTATCTGTGCTTTGAAATGGTTGGATGTTGTTATGCCATAATTTAATCTTTTGCCTACTTTAACATGGGTCGGGCTGCTTCACTAAATTGCAAGATCTAACATGGATTAAGCCCAATTCCTATGTCAAGGACGGTCTATCCCACACGTGGGGAGCGGGTCTTCTCTACCCCATCCCATGCGAAAGAAACATTTCACCGTTCGCGATTTAGCTTTAAATATTGCGGCATTGCAATAAGAGTTTTGAAGGATGGTTTGTAGCAAAATGCAGAAAGCTTTAAGAGCCTACGGGGAAGTGCTGAGGCTAATTAGGCGACTTCCGCAGGACACTAGAGGTTACTATGCCAAATATGCCCGCGAAAACTTCGTCAACTACCGAGATGTCGACCCAAAAGACACCCAAGCTATCCACGAACTCCTCCAACGCACTTATGCCCATTCCCTCTGGGTCCTTAACAAGGTAAACGCGTATCCACCCATACGTTGTTTAACTAAATTCCCATGTCCATGTCTACATTAAGTGACGTCAAGAGCTGATTTTGTTTTCTTTTTTTTGGGGTGTAGTATTCAGTGGATCAATCCGTGGCTGAGAAGCTGAAAGGTGTCTGTGAGGCTTGAGTTTTTCCCTTGCATAGGAAGTGTTTGATGTAACTGCCCACAGACGGTTGTTAAAGGCTCGTTTTCGTGTTAACAATAAGTGACGTTTGTCTCCTTTAAATTCGAGATGAACC